TAGTCACATAAAAGTGGAAAATCAGTTGGGCTACCAATGATGATGTCTTTTGTGAGAGAGGAAAATTATTCACGGAAGGTTGACTAGTCGTTTCGAAGGTTAATATGGATTCCCAATCAGGATTAGCGCCACGAAATTCTGCTGGTGAGATGTCATGACGCAGACTATTTTTGGGAGCGCCTAAATTTTCTATACGAGTGACGTCTGATATATGTTATGCCAACTAGTGGGAGAAAAAAAACTCTGTGAAAAAACCTTTGCTAGGAGGTTTGTCGGATGACCGTATTATATATACTTGGGACAGAAGCAATATTCGCCAATATATATCGCCGGGGTGAACATATAACTCCTCGTCGGGCAGTACCTTCTCTGAAAAAGATTTTTGTGAGTACTTTGTTGATACGTAACTGGCGTTTGCACTACATGTACATGTAGTTATGACATGGCTTATGCTTGTCTGTAATGCTTTATTCATAATATATCCGTTTCACCAACGTTAGCTATAGTGATCTAGGCATCATAATGATGCACTCTCAAGTTCAGAAGTTTCATTTATTACATATGTAATTTTAAGAGTTATATATGCGGCACCGAAAGGAAGTCACAATTAAAGTTTAAACTTTCCGCACGAACATGACAGGGTGTCTGTGATGACAGCAATGCATACTCAGGTACATAATATCACACAGACGTACGCCATATCCCCTTCCAAGCCAGTGACCAAAATACATGTATACATAAGTACATACATGTATGTAATATCCTCCAAGACGAGCGGCCAAAATAAACATACGATTCCAGGCCGTCGGCAAAAATCTAGCGCGCCAATGCTCAGCTTCAGACCACGTAGTTTATAAAGAATTCGTTCCATCCTCTCCCTTCTTCCTATCAACTTCCCATCACCTCCCATTATTTTCTCTGACTACCCGCACCCAGGTATTCCATCTTATATGCCCAGAATGTAACCGCCGGGGTGCGCCCAGTGCTTCGTGTGCATGCTTATCTTTAGTTTTGTATCGCCATAGGCTGGTGGTTTGAGTGAGATGGGAGTGTTTTTTCTTCTACTAGCCTTAGACCTAGTGCAGAGGATTTTGATTCCTCTGGGCTTAGGGACGTTACTGTGGGCTGCTGGTAGTGATTAATAGGGATTGAACCACTTCTATGTGGTTTTAATTCCGACATGGATAGTAGGTAGTTAGATTTATATAAATAAAAATGGTTTCTCGTTCGTTGTGAAGCTTCTTTTCTCTGAAATATATTGGTTCTTTGGCGAAATTGCTCATGGATCTACATGCTAGCTAGACGTTCAACACGTACCACTTTGTGAGTACACCCAACGTTAACCACAAGTTCACCATTCTCCGTTTTCACTTGTCCATATGCCACATAATCAGAGATGCGTTTGCAAAAGACTGTATGTGACTGCATGTAGACGACTGACCGTTGCCATCATTATCTTCATCACATCGCCATCATCGCCAGATCAGCTAGCTCATCCGTCATCGTGTAGAATTATCCATACATACATCCACGTATGTCGGATCCCATCCCAAAAGAAAGCCATGGATCTATATCAGAGCCCCTAACTTCAGCACTATCAAGACAAAGCCTTCACGCCTCTAGATCTACTTGATAAATCTCAATTGCATACATCGCGGACTTCTGAAAGCTCGAGGCCAAAACATATCGGAACGCACGTGCGTAGCATCGATCATCAATACTCATAAGACACATCCAGCTACTTCTAAGTAGTATAATCCTCCTACCTCTCATCAGGAAGCCTCCTATATTTACTCCGCCGAGTTTCGAACCAAACATTTCAAGAATTCACAACCTCAATCAAACCCTAACCCTGGACCATAGTTACTATAAACCTAACCCTGCGTCATACACCAACCGTCATTCTGGTCGATTGCCACATAAGCGGGGATGGACTTGCTTCTGCTAGAGATACCTGGAAGTAAACAGTTTGTGCTCAGTCTCTGGCTGCTTGTGTGGGCAGTAATGCCGCTGTTTTGGATCACTCGGATGGGATTTCATTGCGTTGGATCATGGGCAGTCACCCGAGTTTAAGTGGGTTGGCGTATTTTTTTCTTCTTTCATTTGGGTTGGCGTATTCTTAAGTGGCATGGAACTGGGGGGTGGTTTGTGCGGGTTGGTGTGTGTTTGTGTGTATTCGGTCGTGGAGTCGACTGCTACTTGCTTGGTAGTTGGCTTGTGTATACTATAGGGTTTTGGTGTTGTAATGAGAATATGATTCACTTCCTCTCACTCGGTCCCACGTCAGTTAGTCAGTATGGTTGCGTCCGTCGATTCTCTACTATTAATAATCGCTCGGGGCCCCGCCGTAGAGCTAGGGGTCTTTTGGTAGACTCTAGCTATAAATAGTCCCAAGTCAGAGCTTGGTGGTGAGCTTGTCGGCCTCGAGCATTTAAGGAATATATCTATAGGATGTGCGCGAGACGAGGAGACGAGACTTGGGAAACTCTCTTCTCGTCTTGTACCCATCAAAGCGAGTCTTAAAAAAACTCGAGATAATGGTCTAGTCTCGTCAAAAGTCTCGAGACTTTTCGTCATGTGAACTTAGGGCTAGGAAAGGTCTATAATGATCCAATTTTCTTGACCTGGAGCTTGGGAGTATATTAAAGATATCTGGAGGGAAAGCAACCTTTAAGATCTCTCCCAGTATCTATTTTTTCGGGTCTCATTAGCATAATGGTAATGCCCTCGTATAGAAACTGAGTACGACGGTGAGTGATCCGAGTTCGACCCCCGGATGAGGCTACATTTTTTTCTTATACCTCTTTCTTTTTACTTTCACTTTCTTTTGAGTATATTTAGATGGGGGAGAAAAGTCAAAAAAGTCTCGAGACAAGTCTCGGGACCTCCGGACCTGCTTTTGTCCCGCCCAATGCGTCAGCCCCCAGGTCTCGTCTAGTTTTGCCAAAGGTCTCGTGCCCATCACTACTCCAACCAACATCACATCATTAAAAGGTATTGAGATATATATAAACTACATAAACACATAGACTACATAAACTAGATAAATACCGAAACCAATCTATCTACTCAAACTCCTCCAAAACCTCCCCAACCCTCCACCCCACCAACCCCAACACCCACCCCGCCCCCGCCACAACGCTGACAACCCCCCAAATAATCCACGTCAATATCCATCCGCCCCAACCGTTAAACCCTAACGCTCCAAGCTCCCCATCCTTCCCCAATCCATGCCGGCTCGCCTTAACCCAGCCAAACGCCCTATTCATCATCTCCTTCTCATACCTCTCCCCAGCGGCCCTCGCCACCTCATCATCTATCTCCTCTCTCCCTTCTAGCATAGCCACCAATACCTCTAACATCTTTCCCGCATCATGCATAGCCTGGTTCCCGCCCATGCCGCGCCCAGGCAGCATTGGATGCACCGCATCACCCAGAAACCACACGCGCGGGTGCCCGCGCTCCGGAGCGTCGGGTGTTGCCACATCGTGACGCCAGTTGGCAGCTGGCTGCCGTGATGTCCGTGGATTAAAGGTGTAGATGTCTGTATGTGGGATTGCGGAGATGATGACGTTGAGGCGTGGATCGGCGTCGGCATAGAGGGATTTCAGGAAGGTGGAGATCTCTGCAGTGGTGAGGGTGTCAAAGTTGGTAGGGAGATTAGATGTGGGCGTGACGTAGGAAAGCATTAGGGAGGCCATGGTGGGGTCATAGTTATGGGAGGTGGTGGTATCAGCGGCTGGGGTGGGGAGGTAGCAAGAGGCAAAGAGAAGGTTGCGACCGGAGGGGACGGCAACGGGGGCGCGCTTGATCTCAGGAGGGAGGAGGGTGAAAGTCTCGGGTGTGAGGGGGCCTTTGATCAGGAAGCTTTGGATCTTGGTGAGGGTTATTATGTTACAGAGGCCGGCTTGAACGTTGATCTGTTAGTAGAGAGTTAGTGAGGGTTCAATTGCAATTTGCAAATAGTATCAAGCTGAATTAGGCAGTGATGAACTATAGCAAATAGTAACAAGCACTCGTGGGTAGTAGTTAGTAGTAATAATTATTGGTAGTAAAATTAGCAGTAGCACGATCATTACCACCACCAACAGTGCTAGTGCCAAACGCAGGAAACGGTAACAAAATTAACAAACCCACCTTAGACCCACTCCCATCCGCCGCCACCAACAAATCTCCCACATCCTCCGTCCAGTCTTCAAAGAAGACCTTAATCCTCTCCTTTCCCCCGTTCTCCCCGCTCACAACCTCATACCTTACAAACGCCTTCCCATACACAACGTCAACTTCCTCTGCCAGTGCATCTCTCAGAACCACCCTATTCACAGGTGCACTCTTCGGATATGACGGCAATCTCGTCAGGTCGACGAACACGCCCATGCTCTTGCCATACAATATCGGGGCGCTCGCACTACCACGCCCGAACCGGGCACAGATAGTGGCCTTGACATTGGGTGTGAGACAGCGGCGGAAGGCGTCGAGCGCTGGCGCGCCGAGACGAATCTGGTAACCGGTGCGTTGGGGGGGGGAGGAGGAAGAGGGGTCGGGAGAGCGTTCGTAGAGTGTGTAGGAAATGTTGTGCTTCTTGAGGCAGTTAGCAAGGAGGGTACCGGAGAGGCCGGAGCCGATTATTAGCACTTTAAAGGGCATTATTCGGGATGGATATATTGGGACGTGTGGAATTGTTGTTTGTGGTGTTTGCTTGGTACCGCCAACCAGTTTCTGGGAGTAGGCACTGTACCGTAGAGCAGGTAAGGTATTCCGGATCCCTGTGGTTATGCGGGTAACAGTAGTCTAGAGCATGGCTGTCTGAATACTCTAGTGCATAGACGATTGGTGATAGGTAGACGAGCACCCGGTACTACTACTGCCTGTGCTACCCTTCGTGTGGCTTGCATGGGTGCGAGAGGCGGGAAACAGGGTATCGGTGCACGGGGAAAGCGAAGCGCCGACACACCGAGTCCCAAATTCACGTTTTAGACCCCCCGTTCGCCTATATAAATATGTTCGAGTGGTTTGGTTAGTAATCCACTCATTCACAGATTCTCACTCACCTACCATCAATGACTGATCTCCCCCCCTCCCAACAGGCGCAACAACCTACCGCCTAAAAACTAGAGGCCTCACAATCTTCCTTGACACATGGCTTGACCGCCCCTCCACACTACCACAATACCTATCTACGTCCAATGTAACGGAATGCGACTACATCTTCATCTCGCACGCACACTTCGACCACCTCCCCGGTGCCGACAAGATTGCCATCCGCACGGGTGCCACAATCTTCGGGAACGGAGAAGTCATAAATGTCATGCGTGCTGCCGGTGTACCCCCCTCACAGCTTCTCCCAATCGCCGGAGGTGAGCGTATCCCGTTGGGTGCCTCAGGGGTTGTGGCTCACGCATACCCTTCGCTCCATTGCCTCATGCCTCCTGGAGACCATTTTAGCATGCCAGAGACGTTGGATACAGGGACGGTGTATCTTGGTGCACACTTGACGTGACAAGGGGTATGACGAAGGGGTTCACTCACATCTGTAACGCGCCCGACGAAGCATTCGCCAACGCACCCGAGGAGTTCAAGGTGTTCAGAGAGTGGGTGAAGGATCGGGAAGGGAATCGATTCTCGTATTTTGACGGTGGCCGAATTATGTATAATTTTGTCATACCATATCAGGGGGCACTGCTGTGGTCAGGGCATTTGGGGGCGTATGAGGGTGTGGTGAAGAACATGTGGCCAAAGCCAGATGTAGTTGATACTCGGGGTTGCAGGGAGAGGAAATTTAGATGGTAGGCCTTTTGATGGGTCTTCAGCGGAGATGGTGACAAGGATTGTGGAATGGCTGGGAGAACTTGAGAGAATAGTGTTTTCGCTGTGGGATGAAATGCCACTCAAACCAAAAAGAATAGATACCAGGGCAGCAAAAAAGGCAGTGGAAGAGAGGACGAAAAGTCGGGTGTGGGATTTGGTACATGCTGAGGTTGGCGTGGTGTTCGACCAACCGGGGGAGTAGCCGATGGAAATATAATGGATAAGAATCCTACAGTGTAATTATCGATAAAATACATTGAGAATTCTTTCTGTAAACTTTAAAGGAAGGTATATACTTACTAGAATTGTTGTACCCTTTCTAGGTATCATGATCTCCTCTTTACCGTTCCAGGAGAGTTTATAGATTTTAATGACACGAGTTGATTCATTATTAAAAAGAAGGAAGAATAGTAAACAGAATTGAACTTATCGATCAATTCCTTTAAAAGCAAACCAAATGCCTCAGAGTTCAGCTCCTTTAGTCCAAAAACCGCAGGGATGACCACATGCCTAACTTGATCAATTATGTAGCTACCACTACCTCTGGAATTGATCGTAGTTACCTAACGGTTATTTCAAATTCTTTCGAGGGCCCCAATTTGATCTCAATTATCAAACATCACAGTGTAAAAGGAACAATGAGCCAGCCTAATCTTGTGTCCGTAACCTCAGATGGAGCTTTCTTGACGCATAGAAACGAGAGAAGAATGTTAGTTTGAAGCCAAAAGTTATTAAAATTAATGTTATCCGGCTAGTTACCATTCATCACTGCCTCTGATATTTGATCTCGGAGAAATGGTCCGTTATGACGGTCATGGACCAGCTTCAATTTTCAAACCAAGACCCAACAAGTCTAGGAAAGCCCGATTCTAGTGAGTTCTTTGAGCTCCATGTGGATGTCTCTACTCCAATGAAGATTCCTCCTCCACTTCGGATGGTCGTCCCTTCCTTGAAAGGCCAAACCCAAAGCTCTGTATGTGATCTGGTTGTGTGTTCATAGTTAGCATCATTAATTTCAGTTTAAGATATATTGAGATTCCTCGCCATGAAACCAACTCAACCCGACCCAAAGCTTAGACTCAATATTTAACGGAATTAAGACTCACATAGTCGGGATGTCTTGATTACAGGTATAAAGGAAGTGACTGGTATCGGGGAGAAGGGATGGTACAGTGATTACGGGAAAGATCCGCAACTGTTGCATGTCAATTAGTCTATAAGGAACTCTTGACCTTACAAGTAGTTAAAAGAGATATCACCAGATCTAGACTTACACCCCATATCATTACTGTCCAGTCAGCCCTCTTGCTACCACTCGCTAATGTTAAAATGACCCCCTCTGTCATTTGACTCAACCTAGCCGCAGATGAATCTCCGAGAGCTAGAGAGACAGTCGTGATTAACCGCTTCGATCATCGAATGAGGTCCCTAACTGATGTTGTTGACAAAAACAAAGAACAGTCCCTTAAGAAAGTAGAATATACGTTCGCTAAAGGATGAAAACATGTATTCGCTGGGAATTTTGATATAAACTGTGAATAAGGGCCATGAGAGTTGATGACTGGCCATGGTAGGCTACATGTATGCATTGAAGGAAGGGTTGTCGCCCAGTGCTAGCCATATCCTTGGCAGGGTTTTATAAATTTAGCACTTACCGCACCTGGCCGGGTGCTACAGCATGTCCCCTCAAAGTCTAACCTAGATGACTGTCCATGATCCCAATATAATTTCAGCTCTCGCCATCGCTATAAAACCTATAGCTACTCTCCCCAGTTGATTCAGAAATTTAAAGAATACGGTATTTCGGTTGACGAGTGATGAGCTGTGAACCTACACCCTTCCGCCTTCTGTAGTTTGAGCTCTACACTCAGGGTGTTGACTCTATAATCTTTTTATTCTTGATGATCGATTCCTGTATATACACTTCGAAGTCTCACCCTAGATGTAGAAATCGCTTCTAGAACTTAAAGTGGACTGTGAGCACGGGTATGTATTTCTGACCTCGAGTCAACTGAATTTACTACCCTTTCACAGATTACGGCTTCTTCAAGAGAAACGGCCTACCCCTCTAAGCCTGTCACCTTTATTCAGCGTCCTCAACTCTAGAGGAAATTTTAACTACATGTAAGGTGTTTCTGCCAAAACTAGATGTACTAGATCATGCTGAACATGTGGTTTTGGATTTCGGCTGTTGGTGTACGACACAAGATGTCGAATCTAATTCTCTTACCCTCAAGCTCATTTCTCGGGAGAGGTTTCGGTTGTGAACCTGCAGCATCGAACTTCATTTGGGACTGGAAATGAACTACTATATGTTGCGTCCTTCAAAACCTGCTGTTAAATCAATACTTGTTGCGGATATTGTTTTCTTAATACTCACCGGCCCAAAGCTCTCAATGCCAAGTCTCCATACATACATGTATCGATTATTGGGTTACAGATCCCTGGGGTGAGACTTACGCGAGAGGAAGCATTAACTTCGAGTGTTTATGACGGCTTTGAGCTTTTGATTTAGATTATCCGGACACAAATTGGCCTTGGCCCTGCCAAAAGTTCAATCGTGTCCTCGATCGCGAATTTGGAATATTTTTTCGCCGCTCGTCTCCAAAATAACCTTTCTGGCAGGACCGCCAATAAACCTAAGTGATTGTTGAGAATCCAGCTAGTGAGAAAACTAAAACTCTGTAAAGCGCAGAAAATGATTGTCCTTCGGCTTTCTGCGGTCCATGTCATTTTTATGCTGTACCTATAATGAAATTTGGAACTTTTTAAAGATCCTCATCCCATCTTAGCTCTCAGTAGTACGAGAGATGGCATGAGAGGTTGCCGATGAAAATCACTTGTTCCACCCGACTGTTGCTGCCCATAGCTACAGTGGGATTCTGTGCTAGTAGTCTCTCTTGTTTCCGTTAGGGTTCCCGTACCAAGATTACATGTATCTTTGCCGCTTGCATGTCCATGAGTCGGTCGGTTGAACACTACAGGTAGCTTGATACCAAATTATGCATATACATGTATATAATACATAATATTGGTTTCTGTGAGTATTTGTGTGACTGAAATGCAAAAGTTACCCACTGTTTTGTAAAGACCTCCGTGTGTTTCTATCGATTTTTCCTTGGGTATTCTTTTATATTTTTTTGACCAGGTTGTTTGTTGCCGTAGAAGAGCATGGTATTACATGTATCATGCTCAGACCACCTCCATGAGGTAAACCCCTCCAAGAATCCCGTCTCCGCGAGCTCTTCTCGGGTACCATAATGAACAACTAGCTTGATTCTAAACGGCCATCCGATATACGCACTCTATTTGACCGCCTCGGTCGTAATAGCCAAGGCCGAATGCTCAAGTTCGCCGATAGTAGCCTTGGTTGTAATCTGGATTTCTATATAAAGCCCTTTTCCCTACCTCACTCCTTCTCTTCTTCTTCATTATCATCATCCAGTGTCTCTAGAGGACATGGGGAGTTCATCTCCTCTTCTTGGAGGAACCTCAAAATCCCAAAGCTCTCAAGATCCAAAGCTCGTCTTTCCTTTTGGTTTCTTGTTGCCTTGGGAGGGCCTCTCTTCTTCCTCTTTCTCCTCCTCCTCTTCTCCTCCATCTCTCCCTCTTCCCTTCCCTCGCCCGGAGAAGCTGACGGCTGCCAGCCATCAGCTTCTTCTGTGAGACTTGATTCTCCGGGTTCTGGGGGTGAGGCTCGACATCAACTGGGGTAAATCCGAACCCCAGTTGTCGCTTATTGGGAGTTTCCAGGTTCGTATCTCTTCTCTCTCTATATCTCTTAGTTGATTGTGCTAACTTTGTATCTTCCTTGGCGATAGCTTCTCTCCTCTAGAAGGACCGCCAGCCGCGCCTCATCCGTATATGCGTCGCTACCTCCAGAGTTGTAAGTGACTTACCCAATACCCTCTCATCGTGATCTTTTGCTAACACCATTCTTCTTAATAGCTTCTTAAAAAAGAAGGATTTGGTTGGGTTATCCCTCCGGCCCTTCTCTGCGAGAGAAGGGTTTGGTTGGGTATCCTTCCTTTCCTGCCTGGCCTTGGCCCTCGAGAACGATCTGGTGGGATATCCCACCCCCTTGTCTCCGGTTCCACCCTCAACTAGAGGAAACTGCAGCTCCAGGGCAAGTTATTCCTCTAATACTATTTACTGGTTATTTTTCTAACATCCGTTTTTCATAAATAGCATTTGTGGAGGATGTCTACTCTCTCCGGCTCTTGGAAGATTGTAAAGAGGACTGGGAGGGTTCTCCGGTCCTGCGGTGGGGGATTGTAAGGAGGACTGGGAGGATTCTCCGGTCCTGTGTTGTGGTGTTTTTTCTTTTTTTTTTGTTTTCCTTTCCTTTTTCTTTTTCCTTTGTTTTTTGTGGGAGATGATCTCATCTGCGTCTTCTCCCAGCTATTGTAAATAGTTTCTCTTGTGGTAGGCCAAACGTGGCCTGCCCATTTGATTGGGCGGGTCAAATGCGGCCTGCCCATTTGATTGGGCGGGTCAAATGCGGCCTGCCCATTTGATTGGGCGGGTCAAATGCGGCCTGCCCATTATTGGGTGGCGGCCTGCCGCAACAATATATACCAGTAGTTGTTCGTTCTTCTCTCACCTGTGCACGTGATTAGCTCGATCCTACATAAAAATAAAACCGTGAAAAGCACATAGTGACTCTCGTGCGCATTTAGCCAGCCTCTTCTTGAACTTGAAGATCGTTTAATTCCATATACGACACTATCTTTCTATAATAACTCCTATAGCTAACGTTAGCCCGCCCTTATCGTCTCAAATATGTCTACCACATCGTGAGCCCGTGTAAAGTTCACAACTACGTAACTTTCAAATCTAATATCAAGTATTTATATATAGTTACCCAGGCTGCCCTGTGCTCGTCCAGCGGTCAACACCAATCAACACACTCCCGGTATCGTACCAAAGGTTTAGCCTCGTCCGATTGAATGGCACAGCTCCTAAGTGATACATAAGTTAAAATACGCCTAGTAACCCAATCTCAACCCCGACTAAGGCTCAACAACCCTCTCCTCAACCACCTCACCCCCACTTACCTATTCAACCTGAACTCTTCCCTATAAATCAGGATCACTGGTCTTCACGACTTTTCACTGAAACCCTATAAGCGTAGACAATGTGTAATCGATATCCCGACCTATAAAATAGACCTGCTAAACCGCAATTTTATTGTTAGAAACATCTATACTATTCATCGAGGTGTGAGGAAAACGGAAACCTCATTCTGTTGAGTACTGTGCTCGACAGCACCAGGTTAACCGGTTCACTAATTAAATAACTGACCCACAGCCATGGATAGCCAGATCAGGTGATAAAGCAAGCCAGCCAGAATGTTCCCCAGGAAGGAGTTCCGGAAAGAGTACTCATTTTTTTTCGTTCACAGCTGGCTGTAGTAATCTATACATGTATGTCAGTACAGCTGTGTCATTTCAGAGCCAAAATAAAAGAGCAGAGAGCGTTACTTATGGAATATGAAGAAGATATCCATCAACGTTAACAAAAAAAAAAAAAGCACAAAGAAGTAGCAAGTACTACAGGAAAATACGGAAATGTGCGTCTACGTACCCATTATGACAATGGATTATTGCTGCATGACCGCTGCTAAGAGCCCACAGGTCGTATCCAGGAGCAGCAGTTTGGATGGGTCCGCGATGGAAAGTGTGGGTATGGTTTTGCTGCTCTTTGGGGCTGTGACGGCGGGGAGAAGAAGATGTGGGTTTGGTTGACGGCCGGAGGGTGGCATGCATATGGGTGACGTTTTATGTTGGCTTAGTCACGTGTACGGGTGGGGACTCCCGTCTTTGTGGGCTTACGGACGCTAAAAGGCTTGTGACTATCTTTGCTAGGATCCTGGTACTTACTACTCTCTATCTGGGTATATTGGAGATTGAATGGTTCTGGCTACATGTAGCTATAGCTGGACGTTATGACATCTTTACCTGCATGGCGGCTCTAGCTTGCCGGCTCAAACCTCATCAACCCGATGCTCTTCTAGCTAGACGATAACGAGGTCTCGCAATCAACGCTTCAGCAGGCTCTTCTGTACAGGATCCGGTACCTTTTGACCTACGGGGGCTGTGGATGGCACTATAGGTCCGCAGCCAAGGCCGGCGGCGCGAACGATATGTTTGCGACATGAGATATCACTCGCGGGTCACAAAAGTACGCTAGGATAATGAGCTTCAGTATAATTGTGATCAATTGATAACAAAAAAAACAGTAGCTAATGAGTGATAAAGATACAGATGCTGTCGAGCAAGCAGGAACAAACACAAATACAAATGACGAAAAAAATCAAAAACAAAAACTACAAAAACAGTTATCGCACTTCTCGATCCACTCAGTCTACTCTCAATCTACTCACAACAACCCCCATCCCTAGCCTCGACAGCAACCCGATGCTCTATAGATCTATCCAATCACCAAGCACCTGACCTCAATGCTCTCCCTGCCCCCCTTCTTCTCCGCCGGCGTGCCCGGGTGCACAAACGCCGAATGCGGCGTCCTGCCCCTCCTCCCCTCCGCGCCCCCACCCACAACCGTATCGGTGTCAAAACACTTAATCAGCAGCACCTCCTCATCCCTCATGCCACTCCAATACCACCACTTCTGCCCCTCGCGGAACTTGACCCCCAGCGTGCTCCCCTCGCGATCCGGGAGGATGTGTCTGACCGGCACCACATCCGCCTCCTCCACAGTCCTGCTGTCGGCGCATCCGAGCGGGCTATCGACCACCGGCCCGCCAATCGGGCGCCACACATTGATGATGCGCACGCGGGTGCCCGCGGCAATGACCTCCTCGGCGCGCTCGGCGGGCAGGTGGCGCCGGATGCGCTGGTACGACGCGGGCACGCTCTGGTCGATGTGCGCGCGCATGACCGGCGGGCGCTTGGCGTCGGGCCCCGCGCGCCGCACCGTGTGGTCGAAGATGACGACCTCCTCGATGCCGGGGACGTGTTTCTTCAGGATGGCCGTGATCTCGGGGTAGTACTCGCGCTCGATCTTGGCGTCGTCGGTGAAGTCCTTTTCGGTGGAAGGGACGTCGAGGACGGGCTGGAAGGCCTGCTTGTCGAGGTTGAAGTCGGCCTCGAGGCCGCGGAGGTCGTGGATGGTGACGGGGTGCGGGATGGTGGAGAAGTTGCTCTGTAGGTCTTCGACGATGAGGTAAGGGGGGGCGCCGTCAATGGTGGTGGGGGGGTGGAAGTTGATGACTGTGGGGACGTCGCCGTGGGGTGGGTGGGTGGGTGCTGCTGCGGTGGTGGGGGTGGGGGTAGAGTTAAAGGTGGAGACGGGGGCGGGGGCTTGGGTGAGTGTTGTGGTGCTCATCTTGTTTGTTTTTTGGGGGGTGCTGTATATAGTTGTGAAAATAGTTGTGTAAATAGTAGTGTAAGTAGTAGCAGTACTAGATAGAACGTCCAACACAAACACTGTATTGCAAGCTGGATGCCCAACAATAACAGCGGCTCCCACAGCTCTCTATATACTCACGTCACTCCCTCCTTCATACTCTAAGATTCGTATTCACACCTCCATCTCAGCCCATGCACCAACCAGCACGCAATCCAATTATAAATCACCACCCAAATAACGCAATCCGAGCCCCGTTACTAATTCACCAACAACCTGCTGCTCTCCGTGTCTCGTCCTACCTCCCCTGGCAACTTCCCAGCCGATCGTCCCGCCGGGCAGATGTATCACCCGCCCCCCGGCCGCTGCTAAGGTACGGGCCCGTTTGGCTGCCAGTCGAAATGGAGTTACGGGAGGCAGATTTGTATGGCAACGACATAACTCCGTTTATTACTCCCCAGCTAACGGAGCAGTTATGAAACGGAGCTTCGATTCCTCTACAACATGTACAGCCAAACGGGGGCCCTAAGCTAAGCTTTCTTGCACGAACCCCCGCGGGGGGGGGGGGGGGGGGGGGGGGACCCGGCGGAGCACAGAGTAACTAAACTCCATGTCACATGTATGTAACCTACTTGTGACAGCCTGCAGCTAGATTAGAATGCGGAGTTAAGCGCTATGGCGAGTGCAAAGAGTAGAACTCTAGGACGAGGAAAAGTACTTTTTTTTTTTTTTTGACCATACAAGCGACATTGTCCCAGCCAAAAAATAATTTTTATCACTCAACAGCGAAGAATCTGGGCAGATGGGATGATAGAGCAAATGAAACTGAGTAGATCTATCTAGTAAAATTAAAAAAAATATGTGTGGTGTGTGGTGTGTGGTGGTGGTTGATGATGAGCTATAAGCGGTCAAACTTGAGGTGTCCAAACTACTCCGTGACAAGGCTAGGACCTTGACAGTGGGTTAGGGTTGGGGGGTGCATTAGTAACATGAAGCGGATTTGTAATGTGGGCACGACGACGTCAGTTGCGAGGGCGAGCACGGAATTCGCTGATCGGCGGTCAACAATGGGGTGATTGTAAGCTGTTTTCTGCGGTGTTCTGAGGGAGGAATGCGGATTTAATTAAATTCCGTAGATCTACGTGTGTTGGTCGAATAGATATATTGATATTTTGGTGTTTTGTGGTGCGGTGAGCATGAGGTGCGGCTACTAATCACGGAATCTCACTCGGCACGGAATAACCATACGTCACTCGGCCCAACACCAACAACGTCTTCACCGCTCGAGCACTCGTCGCAGCAACATCGAAATCTCAACACCCATCCATTCCATTCACATCTCCATCTCTCTATCTATCTACACAACACCTACTTCCTCCTCCCCATCACCCCCTCCCTCGTCTCCCTCGCCGTCACCACCGGAACCCTCTCCGCAATGCGCCCCAGCCACGCCGCCACCGCCGGAAACCCCTCCCCCCACCCCCGCAGCTCCGCAAAATAGTCGAGCGCCCAATACCACGGCACAAACGCCAGATCAGCATAGCTACACTTATCGCCCACCAGATACTCCTTCCCCGCCAGCACGCCCTCGAGAACGCCGAGGACGCGGTCGATCTCGGCGCGGTAGCGTGCGATGGCGCTGGGTATCTTCTCGGCCTGGCTGTGCGCGAAGTGGACGTATTGGCCGAAGTAGGGGCCTTGGCCTGTGCGATGTGGCGGTGTTAGTGTTTTGAGAGAAAAGAGGGGGGGGGGGGTACGAACCGGACATCTGGAACATCAGCCATTGGGTTGCCAGCATATCGCTCTCGAAGTCGGGGAACGAGATGGCGTGCGCGGTGTCGTATTTCTTCACGAGGTAGAGGATGATGGCGCCCGACTCCCAGACTGTAAAGTCGTTGTTGGAGTGGTCGACCAGTGCCGGCATGCGCCCGTTTGGGTTGACGGCGAGGTAGGGCGCCTTCTTGTGTTCGCCTGCCGCTATGTTAGTATCAGAAGAGAAAAGAGCACCGGAGAGAGGGGAGGCGTACCGGAGTGCCTGTCGATGTAGACGGTGTGGTAGGGGAGGTTGAGCTCTTCGAGGATTATGTTGACTTTCCACGGGTTGGGGCCGGCGGTGACGCTGTAGAGCGTGAATTGCTTGTTGTGGGCGGCCATTTCTGTTTTGCTGTTTGGTTGGCGGGGTGGATAGGGTGGTGCTGTGGTGGTGGTTTGAGTAGTTGGTAGAGTTCTGCTAATCAAACGGCTGTGCTTGTGGAGTTTATATATGTAGCCACCTACCTACCTGATCACGATCCTACCACCCTCATCTAGAAGACCTAATAGCTTACCTATCCCTCACCATCCTCACCACCAACTACCGCCGCCGCCGCCGTCATCGTCATCGTCCAGCTAACCCTCGGGACATTTCAATGAGCCTGAATTCACCCGACCCCATCTCCAGCTCCAATACGCGATCGATGCGCGACGGAGTTCCGTGTTTGGTATTAGTAATCCGATGTTGTTTTGCTCGAGGTCCAGGATGGCCCTGTAGTATATATATGTGGAACCTGTGTCGTGGGCGCTTGCAGGTTTGGTGGTTGGTGGTTGGTAAGCAGGTAGATATGTGGGGAGGTACTTTTCGGGGGGTGCTGAGGTAACGGTGTTGGATTATCGATGATGTACCGGAGTTTGGTTATTTATGATGTACCGGAAATGGGGGTGGTGAGGGGGAAATATCGGCGTCCTGAGATGTATATGCCGTGCAGCGTGGGGTCCTGGAATCGACGTCACACGGAGGCTCTGGGGAAGGATCGCCGGAGGTTTTCGATGTCGAATTAACCTGCAGAGAGCTGTCTGCTAGCTAGTTGTATAGTCACGGGTCGGACAAGTATCTTTTATTCGGAGCGCAGTTAATTACCAGAGACTGAAGACGTATGATCATGATTACAAGAGCAGAAGGAGCAAACTCCACTGATAGTGAACAACGATATCATAACAAAACACGTATTATCAAGACAACTAAACTCGCTATCTTAATCGATACAGTGCAAAATAACAAGTAGGAAATACCGAAGAAAAAGCGTCGTGTCGACATGGCAGTGGCAGTTTCGGACAGCTCACTTGTACGGGTTCAACACCGCCGGAAAAAGCCAAGATTGTGATTATAAAACCGAGTGATTTCCTGTGTTGCACGCGCAGCCGAGCGAGACTTGGCATGCGGCTTGAAAGATCTCTGATGTCTCTAGTCGACCTCGGTGTTTGGGATAAGGTTTGGTGGATAGACGGATCTGATCCAATCTTGCAATTGTCTGGCTGGCCGGGTTAGGATGGGTTGGGGTGGCATGGGGTGGCATGGGCTGGGACGGGTTGGGGTGGCATGGGCTGGGATGGGTTGGGGAGGTTTCTTTGTTCTGTTTGTTCTGCTTGTTCTTTTAGAATTGCAATTGGTTGCAATTGTAGTTCGTGGTTTTGGCAGTATCGTGCGTGATTGATAGCAGACAGAATCCATCACCGAGTTACCCTCAAGACATCGATACCCGCCAGTAACAAGCAACAGCCCAGCGTTACCACCTCGCCCCCATCACCACGGCAACGCAGCTACCCGGCCCAGCAAAACAACACCTCTCCCACGCACTCTCGCCCTCCACTCCACGCCTGCACACCCGTGACACGCCCGTCACTCTAACCACAGCCGTGCTAGCTACACCACACAAGTCCCAACACCACACACACTCACTCACTCACCCATCACGACTTCATCACGACCTCAATGCCACCGCCCCCCACCGCACCCATCGCCATCGCCATCGCCACCGCCACAACCTCCTCCCCCGACCCCCTGCAGTCCCTCGACGGCCCCAGCATCTACACCTTCCCCGTGCACCCCCTCCCCCACCCCCACCCCCACCCCCACCCCCACCCCCACCGCACACACAAGCCAAAGCCAAGCACACCGCTGCGAAAGACACTCACCCACACGAGCTCGCCCTCGCGCTCCCCGTGGCGCATCAAGGTCGTCGTCGAAGCCTCACGCGCCTCCTCCTCCGAACCAGAATTCGCAGTAGAAGCAGAGGAGAGGGACATTAAACCGCAGATTAAACTACTACAACACCACCCTGCACACATGGAAACGACAAAGACAACAAAGATCCCTCTCCGCGGCCTCAGCAGCCCCAGCGAGCTACCACTCCCACACGACACCCCGCGCGACGCACAGACACAGACACTACAAAAGCGGCGGCCCACGCCGGCGCGCCGGAGACGCACGCTGACGCCCGGCGCTGTACGCCCCACCTCCTCCTCCTCCGCCGCCGCGTGGGGTAATGCAAAAGGGAAACACACGCCTACACCCAGACACGCAGCAGAGTCGCCCCGGAAGACAGCAGCGGCACCGCAGTCCCCCCCGCGACGGACCCAGGCACCCCTCGAGACGCCGCGCTCCCCGCGAAAGACCCCATCGCCACGGAAGAAGCAACACTCCTCGCCGTCGCCGTCGCCGAGGAAGGTCCGCCCGCTGCAGCTGTTCCAGAGTACGCCGACGAGCAACGATGATGAGATGGAGGGGTTTAGTATCATCGACACCAACAGTCTCCTGCCGGACTTTGCGTCGACGAACGTTCCGGCTGTCATCCGTGAAGACGACGAGGAGGAGGAGGAGGGGGAGGAAGAGGAAGAGGAGGAGGAGGTGCACATGGGCAACATGCTCGCCTCCTCCTCAGACACAGAAGAGGAGCTGCCGGACTTCACCTTCGCCGAGGACGACGACGACGCGGGGGAGGGGGAGGGGGAGGGGGGTGCGCCAGAGGGCATGTGGGAGGACGATCCCGTGGGCGTGGACAGCTTCTACGGCGCCGACCACCCGCGCAGCCAGTCGCAGTCCCAGATCTTCCGCAGCTCCCCGCCAGCAGTACTATCGCTCAAGCGGCGGCGCACGGCGTCGACCACGCCACGGAAGCGCTACAGTGTGCAGCAGCAGCCGCTCGACCAGGACGCGCAGGAGGCGCTGGATAGGCAGCGGCTGGAGGAGATGATGGCGCTGAGCTCTGACGAGGATCCGGATGCGACGGAGGAGGAGGGGGAGGAGGAGGAGGAGGAGGAGGAGGGTATGGACGAAGACGAAGACGAAGACGCCGACCGCTACGCGGAGCCGGAATGGTCGGAGCCCCCCGGCCCCCCCGCACGCACGTTCACGCCCCCGCTGGAGCTCACGCCGCCGCCCGCGCGCGCGCTGCAGAAGACGTGGGCGTCCCAGCGCGCGGGCGTGATTGCGGCGGCGGCGCGCGCAAGCGCCGTCACGGTCACGATCGAGGAGGACGAGATTGAGCAGGACACGCTGGAGGCGGAGCGGATTGTGCGCGATATGTGGGAGGTGGAGGCGGGGCCGCGGAGTGAGGCGACGCCGATGAGGAGAAGGAGGGTTGTGGAGGTAGACGACGAAGATGGGGACGAGGAAGAGGAGGAGGGGGGGATCAGTGATACGATTGTCGTGGCGGGCTTTGGCGCGGAGCCCGTGGGCGGGACGCCGGTGGGCATGAGTACGGGTGCGTTTGAGGCGTCGATGGTGCGAAGGCAGCGGGAGATGGAGCGGAGTGGCGTGTTTGGCGCTGCTGCCGGCCACTACGAGGAGCAGGAAGAGGAAGAACAGGAGGAAGAGGGCGTGCAGACACCGCCGATGAAAGACCGGCTGCGGCGCACCACCCGGGAGGCATCCGCGACACCGAGGCCCATCCGGGACGCTACGCCGCGGCGGGCAACAAGGGAGATGACGCCGCGGGCGAGAGCAGCAACACCGAGACTGACTGCACGGGCTGCAACACCGCGCGTGGTGGCAGAGAACCCGCCGTCGCCGAGGAAGGCGTCGCCGGTGAAGCCCACGCTGCGCCGGAGCACCCCGCGGGCAGTGAGAGCAGCAACACCGAGAGCGGTAACGCCGAAAACGACAAGAGCACCAAGAGCGCCGACACCAAGAGTGGCGGCAGAGAACCCGCCGTCGCCGAAGAAGGTGTCGCCGCGGAAGCCGACGCCGCTGCGGAGGAGCGCCAGAGAAGGGACGCCGAGAGCTGCAAGAGCCACGAGAGAAGCTACACCACGAGTAGTGGCCGAGAACCCGCCGTCGCCGAGGAAGGCGTCGCCGATGAAGCCGGCGCCGACGCCGCTGCGGAGGAGCGCCAGAGAGGCTACACCAAGAGTAGTGGCCGAGAACCCGCCATCCCCGAAGAAGGCGTCACCGATGAAGCCGCTACGGGGGAGTGGCAGAGAGGGGACGCCGAGAGCTGCGAGGGAGGCCACGCCACGAGGAGTAGCGGAGAACCCGCCATCCCCGAAAAAGGCATCGCCGCGGAAGATGTTGTCGCCGGCGAAGTCGCGCGTCGAGAAGGCGAATGCGAGGCTTGCCAGGATTCGGGCGAGGAAGGCGGCGGCGGCTGCTGCTGCTGCGGGTGGGCCAAAGACGCCTGCTCGCCGTGGGCAGTCGCCCCCGAAGCAGCCTGTACCCGTCCCGGAGCCGGAAATAGTCCCAGAGCCAGTGCTAAAGCCGGTGCCAGAAGTGCAACCGCAAGCCGGGGGGAGCAGCAGAGAGCAGCTAACCCCCCCAACCTCATTCAGCACGACCCCCGACCCCCAACCGCCGAACGCGGTATTCGACAACTTCCAGAAACTCGCGCCGCCGGTGGTGGTGCCAGTGCCAGTGCCAGCGGCCGCGGAAGAGCCAGTGGTGCCGGTGCCGCCGGAGATGAAGGCGTATATCACGCCGGTGGAGCCTGTTGCGGTGCCACGGCGGAGGCTGGGGGATACGAGTTTTGGTGGTGGGAATACGTCGTTCGGTGCTGGTGGTGGTGGGGGGAATGCGTCTTTTGGGGGTGGGGGCAATAACAGGGAGTCGGCGGCGTCAAGGGGGCGCGAGTCGGCGTCTACGTCGTTCACCACTGCGCGCGGCAGGAACTCTGCCTCTGCGTCTGCTTCTGCCGCTACGTCGTTCAACCGGGAGTCTGGCACTGGCGCACCACGGGGCCAGAGCCAGAGCCAGAGCCAGCGCGCGTCTGCCTCTGCGTCGGCATCTGCTTCGTTCAACAGCGCCCATGAGTCCGCCCCCGCCCCTACTGTCCCTACCGCACCCACTGCTGCCCCGGCCAGACGTATCCACCGCCCCGGCGCCCGCACCACCACCACCACCACCACCGCGCCCCCTCCACCACCACCCCCCCCCGCACCCACATGGGAAAAGCGCCACTGGCGCCTCCTCGAGCGCTACCTCCACTCGCACACGCCCCTCACACCCGACATCGCGCGCCTGACGTACCACATCTCGATCGACGACCCGTCGGTGCTCGGCGAGGCGGTGCTGGGCGATCCGGGGCTCAACGTGGTGGCGCTGGCGGGGGGCGAGAGGGCGCTTGTGTTGACGGGGCGTGAGGTTGCCGCGGTGAGGAGGTTTGTGAAGAGGATGCAGGATGAGGGCGGGGTGGTGGAGAGGGGGTGGGGGGTTGAGTTCGTGGCCGGGAAGGTGGGGGCGTTGAAGGTGGCGGGGGTGAGGAGGCGGCTGAGGGGGGAGGGGAGAGGGGGAGGGGAGAGGGGGAGGTAGATAGGTTGTTGGTTTTTTTTTTTTTTTTATATTAATGGGGTTTCTTACTGCGTTCTTGTGTTTTTGTGTTATGGGTGTTTTGAGGGTTTCTTTTTTTTATATTTCTTATACCTTTTTATAGGGTGTTTACACTAAAACTACAGTGTCTTACGGTTTCAGCTACAGTGCGGTATTACATGATGTAGCTAGATGGGTGTCTTTATAGACCTAAGCTAAGGGACTACATGGGAGGGGAGTCGGGGGTTGGGGGTTGGGGGTTGGGGGTTGGTTATGTTAATATCAATACCTACCTACCGAGTAGTTGGTTGGTGGAGCTACTTAATAGCTAGACATGCCCCAGTCCATCGTATTGAACATCTGCTGCAGTCCTCGGTGTTGATGTGTGTGCGGGTGATGAGTGGTGATGAATAATGATGTGTGATGATGAGCCGAGTGATGCCTCATGTTCCAAATATGGCTTGACGAAGTACATAGTAGTGGTTACTAAAGTAGGCCCTCTATGTTGGCGTTTGGGAATGGAGCAGGAGATATCTATGGATAATGTCTATATTTGTATCGAGTTACATGTCGTAATCAATAATACTCATTACGGGAGCCGTACATACAAATATGTAGTTGCTGGTGTCTTTACGTCGGAAAATTGGTTATAAAATATACCCACAAGTGGCAATTTTGATCTCGACCCGAATTTAGAGCTAGTTATTAATCAAGATCTTGGAGAATAAAAACAATTTCGCAGCCCTGCAAGTATATTCATTTGGATTTTAGATTATCTCTTCGTCTGGGCGCAACAAATGCTGACCACCCCCCCAAAAAACAATTTTTTTGTGTGGCTTTACTAACAGATCCTCTTATCTCTCTTACTAAATAATAGATCTTCCATATAAATTTCATTCCCCCATTATAGGGTGGTCAGCTTGCCAGACGAAAGGGATACCACATACCTAACCCTGCGAGCTGCCAAGCTCAAACTGTCAAATTACACGGGGTACAAAAGCTACCCAGCCGCCATGTTACTTGGGTGGGTGGCTCGAGCTCCCCATGGAAAGAGGGTAGTTTAATCCCGCCTAGCTTGGACTTTTGGGATTGTGTTTTGTGTTACTTTCTTTTGATCTTTTTTGAATACAATCATGATTCGTATCAATCATGCCTGTTCAGGGTACCTATATCGTCCGATTATCAGTGCAGATAAATGAGGGAGACTAACCGAAAGCAACATTAAATAATATATCCCCTACGAGGGTTTGTATGGGTGCCGTGCTTTTTGATTCACATCCCCCACTTATACGGAAGTAAAGAGGGTTAAGTTTATACGATAGTTTTCTCTATCCCATGGTCCGTCAATGCTGACCCCCCTATAATAGAGGAATTAAATTTGTATGGGAGATCTATTATTTGATAAGAGAGAGATAGCAAGATCTGTTAGTAAAGCCACACAAAACTTGCTTTTTTTTCTGGGGATCAGCATTTCACTGACAGACGATGGGATAGTATGGCCTCCATACCAAGCCATAGAGGGATACATGTATTCAACAACATTCTTAACCCTCTCTATGTCAAGTATATGCCAATTGCCAAATAATTATGTTTGGTCGCGGGTCACAAAAGACCATCCGGATCCGGCAGTGTTAGGTGTCAATGATCAATTCTCCTTCATTGGCCTTGGCCAGCCAGCTTGGCATATCTCATACCGCGTGGCATTTTTTATTTTTTTTATTTACCGGGTGAAGATGTACCGAAAAAAGCTCTGGCCGGTCCTGCGTAATGCAAAAACAACGTTCCTGCAACCCGCCAAAACTGTCCGCGCCAATGGGAAACGGCGCCGTCAGAAACAACTGAGCTGCAGGATATCGATCTTGCATGTGAGGGTTAGGGGTGCGGTAATGATTGTTGTGTTGCAGATCTGGATCGATAAGTAAGCTGCTTTATAGAGGTGAGATTGTGGCTGTAGATGCTGTCATCCGTTACACGTGGTTAATTTATATTAGCACTTCTTGTCTTTGGTATACCTCGTTAGGGAGTTCTTGGTTATGGAGAGTATTTTGATATTTATGTGATGTCCCTTCCCCTTGTTAGAAACAGCGAGAAACAGCAGGACGGGCGGACTTTCTAATGATTTGACAGTTGTAGCTAGACGGTTTGCTGTGGTGCGCTGCCTGGGGCGAGAGTTCCCTCTAGATCTATTGAGAGGACTTTGGTAGTTTGGTCTCTTGCGGAAAGCTATCCATCGAGGAAAGCCTTTTGGTCCGGGTAGCATCAGTAACTTTGGGTCAGCGTGGAAGCTTCCCCCGACTCATGAGCAGAGCAGAGCAAAGACAGTTGATTGTTTCCGTTGGGCTGAAGCATCAGAGTCTCTCATCCTCCATTAATTTACCCGCATCAGAAAGTCCACCACGTATGTCCAGCCAGTGCACCCCAAGACGTCGGGGTTGAGAGCATAACTGTCTATGATGGTCTTATAGAGTTACAGATTCCCATCTCGATGGACAGCTTCTTACGCAGCTTTACTCTGCATTGGTGAGCTCGGACAGCTAAACAAAAGCTCTATGAAAGACCCACATGAGCTTTTCCAGTGTTCGATGAAAGCTGTCAAGCCTGGGATATGTGGTTGGGACCACTTGCTCGCCTTCGTAGTTGGGAAGTAGGATTCAATTGGTCCTAGGGCCTAGGGGGCATCTATGCCAGGCTCCAGAGATGACCATGACCTACGAAAAGAAGGATGGAAGTGATACTGGAGTAAGTATTGTTAATCGTGGGAAATCATTGCAGTGGTAGATGTTGTTAACAGTTGCATTGTTAAACGTTTTATTATCTAGTTTGAACGGGTACGTTGTTCCAAACTACCTGTAATTTCATACTGGGTAGTTTTGTTTCACAAAGATCATCTCTGAAAACAACTATGTTCTCATCATATTATAGTGCTGGGAATAAATATGTATCACCAGTACTACCTTGGTCACAACGAACCACCTCACGACAACCCTCCAATCCTCTAGATCATTTTACATCATTGATATATGGGGCCATAATAAACATTCCTTTCGAAAACAATAATCAACATAAAAAACCCCGTTCAAAAAAGATAGTCCCAGTCTACACAAAAAGCGCATATTCCCCAGCACCTAAACACCCTGCCCATTCCCAGTCCCATTCCCAGTCCCAGTCCCATTCCCATTCCCATTCCCACTAACGCAAAACCTACAAGACACCGTAATCTACCGCGCCATTGGGCGGGATGAAGATCGCCGACATGCTCTGCTTCGCATACTCCTCCACCCTATGGGAGAAGATATACTGGTGCACCTCCGCCGCTACATCCTCACAATCAGCCCCGACCCACACAGACAGCGACCCAAAGGCAAAATCAAAGCTCAAGAGACTTACCAGAATATCCCATTCCCTTCCTCGCCATTCCCAACTTCCTCGAAAAGTCCTGCACCGTCTCCGCCCTCTCCTTCCTAACATGCTGATAGACCTTCAACCTCGCCTCGACGCTCTCCGACCTGGCCCCAAGCGGGAACAAGATACCGAGGGCTGCGCCATCCTCGATGGACTGCCCGCCGCCCTGTCCGAGATGCGGCATCATGGGGTGGCATGCGTCGCCGAGCAGCGCGAGACGGCCCTTAATCCATGTTGGCAGCGGCGGGAGTGTTCGGAGCTGCCACAGTGTCACGTCGCCCTCCGAGAGGTGGGTGAAGATGCGCTGGAAGCACTTTGCGTAGTCCGTGTAGACGGACGTAAGTGAGAGGATGTTAGTGGGGGTGTTCCATGAGTCTACCACGGCCAGTCAGTCAATACAAGTGCTTCAGTATGACAATAAAACAAGTAAGCTGGATAAACAAGCCACTCACATCCCTCAGCCTGATCCGTTTTTTCTCCGTCCCTGAACTCGTCGGGGTGGATGCACACAAAGTTCATCAGCTCCCCATTACGGCACGGGTACATGACGATCCTGCGATCCTTCTCGAACGCAATCTTCATCGCCCACTTCTCCCCGCCGTCACGATCGGGCGTACCGAACTGTGCTGTTTCCGGGTCGGTCCGGAGCTTCGCGGTTGGGATCACGAAGCGGAAGGCGGAGAAGCCGGTTGGCACTGCGGGGGTGGTGTCGGGGAAGACTAGTTGGCGGATTTTGGACTACGAGATGTTAGTTATTTAAACGGTAGGTGAGGATGATTGGGGCAGTACGTTGATGCCGTCGGCGCCGACAATGAGGTCGCCTTTGGACGGGATGGTGGAGGGACCGGTGTGGGTGATTGTGCCGGCTTCGGCGTCGACGCCGGTGACGAGGGTGGAGAGATGCAGGATGCAGGGGGGGTGCGGGGAGGTATCGGGGGAGAGCGCAAGGTGCTTGAGCTCACTGTGCAGGTCGACACGGTGGGACAGATACCATGGCTATAGTGAGATGGTGTCAGTAAATTTCCGATACCATACATTCTACTACAGTAATTGTAGTGAGGAAGGGCTTCTCACAGATCCGTGGGATTTCTTCGCATCGGTGTTGTCCATCGTGAATACTGTTTTCCCGCTTCCGTCAAGCATCACCGACTACAATGCCGTCATATCAGCTTTAATTCATCAATGAAAGTCAGGTCTCGAGACTCCATACAAACGAGCACTCCACTCCACTCATCCTCTCCTCCGAGTATCCAAACGACCCTAGAACTCTAGATGCGTTCGGCCCCACATGGATCGCCGCGCCAACCTCGTTCGCAAATGCCGACTTCTCATACAGCTACTCAACTCAACTCAATTAGCCATATTCCAGGCCGCTACAGATGAATCCCGGAAAAGAATGAACTCAATCAATCGTACATGGACAATATGCCCCGCCTTCCTCAACGCGATAGCAGCCGACAGTCCGCCGACTCCAGCGCCGATGACGAGCACCGTGAGCGCTCCGGCAGGAGGCACAGACGCGGTCGCCGGAACCCCCGCTGGCAATTCTGTCTCTGTGGGAATGGTAGCGCTTGGGGTTGTCATATTGTTTGGTGTTTTTGCTTGGGCTTTGCTTGGGCTTTGCTTGGGCTTTGCTTGGGCTTTTTCTTGTCTGGTTTAGTATTTCGAAGTGCTTGGATCTCTTGGTGTCCCAGCTAGCTAAGAAGCTTGCCTTTTAAACCTCTCTCTTCCTCTCCGGAGAAAAAAAAAGGAAAGGGAAAAGAGGGGTTCAGCAGAGGCAGGCATGATTAATGCTTACTATGGTGAAGATCTGATGTCCAATATGATTGATGTGATGTCTGTTGTCGATTAGGTTTAGTAACTCGGGGCCAATGACCGCGGCAGGTTCCGTCATGGCCTATGTGTTTGAAAGTGCCAAGGATTAAAGGGCATTTGATGAGTGATCACTACATATGTTTGTTTCCTTATCTCTGGGACGTCGTTGTATGTAGCTTGCTTTGCCATGGTTACATGGAATGCTAGCTACATTACATGGTCTGTCTTTGGATCTAAAAACATCGCATCGACAGATTATTACAAGCCTGAAATCTACTATTCCACGCCTTATTTGGGCCATCTGACAAGAAAAATTTTACAAACATAGCCAGTAGCTAATAATGCCTCATGCGGGTAAGGGTTGCTGTACATACATGTAGCATACCTACACCCTCCAATTCTTTTGCAATCTGCACTTGTTGAATCGGTACGAGTCTCAAAATACGAGACACAAACAAACCCGTTTCTGGCTAGCTAGGTAGCTAACCCGGCTGAAAAAAACACAATCCATCGCAAAAAATCCGAGTGATTCTTTGTGTCCTCAATCGTACCACTATTTTGCGCCCCTCCACAGTCTCGGCAGTAAGAAAACTATAGCATTTATTTATAGGGCATAAACAGATGAGGTTTAGATCGAATTCTCTAAACACTTTTACTCCGAGTCCTCGACGCCTTCACACAATCACTTACCCAACTACTAGCAACTCCCGGATCCAAGTCAACATCATTGAAATGCAAAAAAAACAATTACCGTCGTGTTTAATATCATCGTCGTCCCCATCGATATTTCGACTTCGCACGTTATTGGGCGCGCATGCATGACCAAGAATTCTACAGCTTGCGGGGAATAAACACGTAATCGAGCAAGAACCTCCTCCAATAGCAAAAAGTATTCATAAACCCCTCTCTCGCTGCTGCTGCCTTATCAGCCACCAATAGATACCTTAATTCGGTGAGGAATGCGGTGGTGAGGAATGCGGTGGTTCATTTTTCGAGGAGAAGTGAGGATGAGTGGTCGCAGATGTTCGGCCTTGGCCGGATCCGCGGACAACCTGGTGCCGGATCCCCAGTACCCCTGACAGTACATAGAGAGGGAGATCAGTGGGTGTTGTGTTCTAGAATACCACCACCACCACTGTTGCGCCATCCATCTGGCCAAGAAGCCAGTAAGTATGATATGCAACAACGCAGCTGACTTCGCTGGGCCTTACATTTAAGTGTGTAGTTTTCTGTTTAATTCTATATATTTACACCTGCACTCCCATCCAGAGGTCACTGAACATCTGCACTTCCTCTTCCACTTCCACATCCACTTCACTCCCACCAAGACTCACAAACATATATAACCCCCTTTCCTCCGCTCTCAAGTATACATACCGTGGACAGAAAAGCTTGTTAGTAACATTCCCACCGAGTGACACCCCATGAGTCCCCACCGAACGAGCCGCCATGCCGCGGAACATCCCGAGGCCGGCCGCGCCTTTTTTTCCCTCCTAGCTAGCGCATGCAAGGGGTGTCGGTGATTGGGTTAGGGTTTTATGTTGTGGTAGTGTATGTAGTTAGCCTTGCTTAGTGCGAAGCTATGACGACGTTGCCGGATTGGGGTGGATCGTGGTTCTTGCGTCGTGGTTGGATGCCCTTTTTCTTGGATGGGTTTGGGAACCTCAGTGGTGGCCTTTTTGCATACTCATGTCCAGGCAGCTTAGTAACGAGGCCTGCCATGTGATTCATCGTGATGGGCGTTATAATTTGCCCTATCTGGATCCTCACAACTGGTGACGTCTTGTGTCTCGAAAAAAAGATTGAATACCTAGGCCTAGTAGCTAGCTAGGTGAGTAATTAGGTAGTTGTGACGGCAACTATACTACATTCACCCACCTGTATTTGGAGATTCAACAGGTTGAGGTTTTGTTCAGCAGGATGGTTATACGAAAATCGTACATTCGTACCAATAAAAATATACCATCTCGATTCTCAAAAGAAAATAAAAAAAAAAAAGAAATGAAAAACAATAACTCCTAACCCGTCCCTTCTCCCAATCGATAACAAATAAAAACAAAACTCCTTTTATAGATACCCCGCCTGGCCTTTCCAGCCCCGATGTTGTTGTGCTCCCCTTCTAGTTGTGAAATTTATGCCCCCAGATAGCATGACAAAAGTAGTAGGAAACCCTAAGAAACCCCAGCTAGGAGGGGAGGTAGATGGTAGTAGCCATGCAATCAATGGAAAGAATTAAAAGAAAAACCCATGAAAAGAAAAAAAAAACCCCCAATTGATAAAGAAAAAACCAATAATATAGGAGAAGAGGAAAAGTTAAAAGAAGAAAGAAAAAAGAATTACAAAGTGCGTTAAAGATGCAGATTTCCAAAATCGTGTAAAATAAAAAAGAAGATAGGATATAAAAAACTAGAATCACCTTATAAACAAGGGTTCTTAGCCTGTGGTGCTTTTGAAAAAAAAAAAGAAGTAAAACCTAGGTGTACTCAGTAAGTAGACGTATATATCTATACGCCACTTCTGCACCCATTATCTGAATAAGAAGGAAATATTCCGATATTCAGGGTGAATCAATCCGAGTCGCCAGCCTCTCCAACAGTCACAACATTCATCCTCAAGATGACCATTCCACTGGATCCAAACATTTCCTTTCCGGAAGGCTTTGAAGTTGTTGTTGTAGTAGTAGTAGTAGTCGCAGTCGACTCCGCCCTTCCCATAATTCTCCCGCTCTTTCTGGTCTCCACGACCTTTTTCGGAACGGCAGGCTTGTTTTTTGACTTTGGAATAAGCTGTTTTCTAGCCACAGCCCTTCCAAACTCCCAGTCAGCGTCGATACGGGCCCGGGCCTTTTCACGGCGCTGGTCGTAATCGGTGACGAAATCGTCGGGGATTAACCTCTTTTTTGAGATTGATAAAGCGATATTTTGCGGTTCAGGAGCAGGTGCATAAATCAAGCCGCATCTGGCCTGATGTGAGACTTTATTATCGCTATGATAATGGCTGGAAATATCCAAAAGACCTTGCCAAGTCCTAGGCACCTCCGATTCGGAAGTGATGGAAGAAGTGATGCCATAATGAGCTGGACGGCCACCATCAGAAAGTTGAGAGGGGCCGGTATCAGATCCGATACCGAAGGCATAAACGAACCAGTTCTTGCTGTTTGTTTTGTATTTGGTTGTAGGATACTTAATTTCATCTTCCTCGATGGAAGTAGTAATGGCAGGTGTGATAGTAGTTTTTCTATCAGTGGCGGGAGTGGGGGATGATTTCTTATGGAGGAGGGTAGTGTTGAAGTAATGAGATTCCATGCGGAGCTTCTTCTTTGAACGGTAGGATGGGGCAGGGGTAGGTGCAGGGGCGGAGATGGGGTTTGAAGACATTTTTATGCTATGAGGGGGCAGACGTATTAAGATCGATCGATCGTAGAAAGAAAGATCTTATGGGAAGAGATGATGTATGTTACGTGGGGAGTATATGTGAGTGTATGTAAGTATGTATGTACGTACGCGGGAAGACAGTACAATACAGACAGGCAAACAGAAATGTGTGGTGCTTTAAGAGTGGAAGACTTGGGATAGGATAGAAGTGAAGTGAGTGTTTGGTTGTGGGGTTGTTGTGTGTAGAGGAAGAAGTAATGGAGGGGTGGTGTGTATGTAAGTAATTTCAAGTAACAATAGCGTGTGGCCAAGGGTTGAGTTTGTGGAAGGGTTTTTTTCTTTTCTTATAAAGCCCAGTAGGGAAATCTCGGGGAGCTGGAGATGAAAAAAAAAGTGGTTCCTGCAGCGTTTGCTATGCTCTGCTAAGGCTGCGTGTTCTTCTTGATTTCTTTGCAGTGAGTTGTCTGCTGTGTGCAAGGATTTCAGTCTGAAAATCAAAAAAAGACTTACAGTTACTTGGTAGCTGGTTGGGATGTAGGTATGCGGTTCAACTTCGAACGGTGGAAGAAGAAGAGGTTGATCAAATAAGAATAAGGGATAGGGGTGATAGATGCTGCAGATTATTTTGCTGCTGCTTCTCTCTTTTTTTTTCTCTGCTTCTACGTACGCGTTATTCAACGAAACGGGTGAAGCTGATAGAGATGAGGTGGTGAAAATCAGAAACCCCCCTGCACCGTTGGAACTCAAGTGAGGTGGTCAAGTCAAGCAAAAAAATGAGGGAAGAGAGCCGCGTCGCGTGGCTACATGCTTCACCTAACCTCAATCCAGCTCTCTCTTTCTCTCTATCTCTTTCTCTGCTTCAACGCAACAAATATATCTAGATCTGGAAACAATTTCATGCTATGACATCAAAGCTCATTACATTATATCATCTAAATTCTAGCTTCCATCATCTCGCTGTCATGTCTGTCAGTCTTGTTTCACATACCCCAACTCCGTCTTTCCCCTCTCCCCTTCCGAAACGCAACGGTTTCCTGGCAGCGGTTAAAATATGTAGATATTTTATTTCCAATGGGACCTGGCATGGGCCCGGGTTTTATTTACGCAGCTTCATCTTTCTGCGTGCGTCCCTAAAAACCCGATATAACGGTAGAATTGCAGCAGCGGGTAACCATGGTATTCAGCCTCTATCTAAACCTTCCTTCCGAGCAAGAGACCCAAATTCAATGGATTGCATGATGATATGACGCCCGGGATGAAAGTGAAAAGATTTCTATGTAATTCTAGCTTCTTTACCATAGACGGGACCACTCTAAAACTCCGACCTCGGGTGCATTCGGCATCACAGAAGCTTTGGTATTCTGTAGATCAAAACCGGATTCTTAATAGCGTACCCGTGGATAGCTTCATCAGGCTACCAAAATAACGCACACATCCCACTTTGTGAGACCCTTGATTGTATATGGTGGGGTGACATCTAATTCACAGATACAAGACTGTCTATTGTAGCATGTTGTATGTAGCCTGATCATGGCCCACAAAAAAGGGAGATATACATATCTGCTCATGATCACTCAGTGCGAGATACGTTCCTAACACCATGGAATTGTAGCTTCTCAGTCGCTGTAATAAACGGCCAAGATTGAAAAGTGGCAAGGCTGCCTTCCGTCGTGAATTGCTCTTCTTTCCGTACCGGAAATGTTATGGCACAAGGACGGCGCTAGCGGTAAAGAGAGGTGGCCAGGCTAGAGACTACATGTAGAGTTCACAAAGGATGCCTGGAGTACGTAGTCTGAATCGAAACGACACTCCCCCGGTAGCATCTACCTGCTCTAGAACGGTTTCAGCCTCGTTCTCCTACACCAACCAAATCGTGTTTTATATTCCACCTCGAGCTTGATGCTGATTTGGTGCATGGATCCATCCATCACGGCGTTGACTTTCAGCATCGAGAGGATGAAAGCTCATCATCTATCAAACTAAGGTATCCCGACAGCAACAGCGGAGCCTCTAGGCATCTCGCCATCACAAAGAGTGGGTGAAAATGGACCGGCCCGTACGTCCCCATGCTCGCCTGTTTACCTTCGGTGCAAGGTGTGTAGCAGGTTGACTGAGCATGAGACTGTTGACTAAGGCATGTTTCAGCATCTATCGACGTCCTTATAGATAAGCTAGATATTCAACTAAGTGCCCTAGATACACGGTCTAGTTCATCCATATTCTCAATTCTTGAGTGGAATATAGACCTTCTTTCTCCAAGCAGCAGAACCGACCAGAGGAATTTGCGGGAATTCAGTTCGCTGTTCACGATATGTGGGCTGCTCTCAACAAGTCGGGCCATTGACACAACACAACTGCATGTATCAAAGGGTAACGACATTGAAGGGTGAATCACAAAGGTAGGGCCGTTCGAATTAAAGTTGTTTCTTCCCAGCGCTGATTCTACTTCGTAGTTCTGGAACGAACCGAATCCCTGCATAACGAGCCAGGGTTTAGCCACACCTTGCTATCAGTAGCCACCCTGACAGGGCTTGGCTTAAAGCTGTGCAATTCGAAACCGAGTGATCATTCATGAACAAATTTGATTGATTGATTGATTGTTGGTTGGTTTATGGATTTGTTCGTTCTACACATGCAACCTTTCGGTGACAAATTAGGTTGATTGATTGATAATTGATTTTATTCATCGAGTACATGCATGAATAAATTAGATAAGTTATCGTTAAGAATTAATTATTCTACAGAACAAGGAAAGAAAAAAAAGCGAAATCCATCATCTACTCGTGCACAAAAAAAAAGCCATTATGAGTACAAGAAAAGAAAAACCGGCCTAAACTGGGACTTAGTCCATAGCGAACCTTCCCAAGAACTTGAAAGTCTTGAGACCCTCCTCAAACTCATCTGCAATACTCTGTGCAGAGGAGTTCGCATTATTCACATATACACCATCCTGCTTCTCAATCGAATTCACCTTAAAAGCCTCGCTAGCAGTACCAATCACACCAACCGGCTTTCCGTACAGGAACGCATCACGGACGATGGAAGCTGGGCGCTGAGCCGGGTACAAACTTGACGCCTTGGAGGAAGGTGCAAAGAGATCCTGAGTTCCATCAACGACGATGATACCATCGAAAAGTACAGCATCAGATGCTGAGTAAGTCTGGTCGATGCCCTCCTGAATGACCTCTCCGATGATGACCGGGTTTGCGCCCTTCTCCTTGAATACCGCAGCGATAGCCTCAGCTTGAGCAATCGAGGCAGAGCTGGATGTGCTGGCGAGAATACCGACCACAAGGGTAGCAATGGTAGGAAGGGGCTCAGAGAATACAGAGACACCGGATGTCGTGTTGTCGTGGTAGTACTTTGAGTCAGGCTCCGGCGCAGCAACTCCAATAGCCATGGCGACACGCTTGGCGAGGTCGTTTGAAATCCTGTTAAATTGAGCAATTGCAGCTTCGCGGACTGCCATGGATGTGATCTTTGAGAGCTCAAATCGGGCGGCGTTGACAACTTGCTGCTGCTCGGCGGGTAAAAGGGAATTGAAGAGGAGACGGGGCTGGGTCCAGTAGTCAAGGAAAGTAGGAGAGATGTCACGGACGTAGGCGGCGTCAACAATGCGGCGAGCGGGGGCGGAGAAAAAGCCGTTACCGTCCGTCTGGTTGGCCTCCTTGGGGGAACCGTTGTTAAGGCTGTTTACGCTGTAGGCAATCTTGTTGAAGGGGATCATCATCTGCCCGGCGCCGTCACGGTTGTTGTTGTGGACAGGGACATGGGGACGGTTCTGTAAGTTGGAAGTTAGTACTAATCTCCCGCCAATAACAGTAATTTTTGCTACTTACAATCGGGAGCTGCTCAAAGTTGGGACCACCGTTACGGTTGAGCTGAGTATCAACATACGAGAAGAGACGTCCTTGAAGGAGTGGGTCATCGCTGAAATCAATACCACGGACAACATGACCAGGACAGAACTGATACCAGTTAGCTATTAACTCTTCAAGAAAAGATACAGGGAGCGCAGAAAGTGTACCATAGCCTGCTCAGTCTCCGCAAAGTAGTTCATTGTGTTCCTGTTCAAGACAATCTTTCCAATTGGCGTAATCGGCACCAGCTCGACTGGCACAATCTTAGTCGGGTCCAATAAATCAAAGCCAAATCTCAAAACATCACTCTCGTCCATGATCTGCACACCAACTTCCCATTCCGGGTAGTTCTCGGACTCAATGGCCTTGAAGAGATCTTCACGGTGGTAGTCGGGGTTCTGGCCATTAAGAACTAGAGCTTCCGACCACACGAGTGATGCGAGACCTTGCTTGGTCTTGAAATGGTACTTGACGAGCTTGGATTCACCGTCATCATTGACGAAACGGAAGGTGTGAACTCCGAACCCATCCATATGGCGGAAGGAGCGCGGGATACCGTGGCCGGAGAGTGCCCTGAATAACAAATAATTAGTCACCCGATGAGACATAATAGATTTTTTGAGTAAACTTACCACATGAGAGTATGCATAGTGGACGGATTCTGACTGAAGAAATCCCATGCCGTGTCGTGAGCTGTGGCTGCCTGTGGAATCTCGTTGTTGGGCTGCGGCTTCACAGCGTGGATAAGATCGGGGAATTGCATGGCATCCTGAAGGAAGAAGACAGGGATATTGTTGCCGACAATGTCTGGGAGGGATATACATTAGTTACTGGCGATCACCCACGAAAAACAATCTTTGTTTGATAGGGTTAATTCAAGGAGGAAAGGTAAGGGAATATATGGGGTACAAACCATAATTCCCTGCGTCAGTGTAGAAACGCAGCGCAAATCCATGGACATCTGTTTGTACAATTAGTATCTGGACGCAAGGAGGTCAAGACGCTAGGATTACACATACCTCTCACAGTATCCGCACTACCGCGAGATCCGGCAACTGTTGAAAACCTCAAGAAAATCGGGGTTTGCTTTCCCTCTTTTCCCAAGAACGACGCGGCAGTGACGTTGGACCAGTCGGCATAGGA